AACCAATCCAGAATCCCCTGAAAAAATCACAATTTGCTCGCAACACCCACCCCTGGGAGCTGCCCCTGCCAGCTGTGGGCAAACCTCCCCAGACACCAAACCCCTCCCCGCTCTCTCCAGCCCAGCTGGGTGATTTATCTCCGATTTAAAACTCTGTTTGCAGAGAAGCAGAGACCAGAGGAAACTGCAGGGGATGAACAGCTCAGATTATCTGAGCCAAGTGTGCAAAGGCACAAAAAGCTCTTTGTGCTCGGGGGGACGCGGGCTCAGCAAAGCCAGGCACAGGCAGCAGCTCCTGGGAGCAGCTGGAGCAAAACATCCCGGCAGGCCCCTGGGTTTGGGATTAAATCTGGAGCAGGGAAGGTCCTAATGCTCCTGGGTTTGGGATTAAACCTGGTCCTGAGGCTCCTGGGTTTGGGATTAAATCTGGAGCAGGGAATGTCCTAATGCTCCTGGGTTTGGGATTAAACCTGGTCCTGAGGCTCCTGGGTTTGGGATTAAACCTGGTCCTGAGGCTCCTGGGTTTGGGATTAAACCTGGAGCAGGGAAAGTCCTTAGGCTCTTCAATTTGGGCTTAAACTGGAGCAGGGAACACCTTGATGCTCCTGGATTTAAATCTGGAACAGAGAAAACCTTGAGGCTCCTGGATTTAAATCTGGAACAAGGAACACCTTGAGGCTCCTGCATTTAAACCTGGAGCAGGGAACTCTCCAAGGCTCCTGGATTTGGGTTTAAAACTGGAGCAGGAAAGGTCCTGAGGCTCCTGGATTTGAATTTAAACCTGGAGCAGAGAAAGTCCATAGGCTAATGAATTTGGGCTTAAACCTGGAGCAGGGAATGTCCTGAGGCTCCTGGATTTAAACCTGGAGCAGGGAACACCTCGATGCTCCTGAATTTGGATTTAAACCTGGAAGATCCTGAGGCTCCTGGATTTAAACCTGGAGCAGGGAACACCTCAATGCTCCTGGATTTGAATTCAAACCTGGAGCAAGATGAGCAGGAGACAACAACTCTGCTTCCTTTATTCTGCCAGGACATGAATTCCCAAACCCCAGGGATCTCCAGCTGGTCAGGAATGTCACCACCTGCACTCACTCAGCTGTGGAAGGGACTGGTTCCAGCCACGTGGAATTTTAAGGAGTGCTTTGGGAATTTGGGATATCATGAGGTCTGGAAAATTCCTTGGGGTCCCCTCCCAATTTCCCTGTGTGAGGAGCAGGAAAGGCCTTGGATGTGCCCAGGAACAACAGAACTCCTCTGGAACGTCAGCACAAATCCAGAGGCAATCCCAGAGCAGCCCTGGGGAGGAAAATGAACTCTGGCCCAGGCCAGGCTGCTCTGGGGACAGAGGACAATGATTCCTCCTCACTGCCACATCCAGGTGCCATTCCCAGCCTGGGGATGGGAACTGCCTTCAAAAATAAATGAGCCACAGCTGAGGGGAGCAGGAGGCAGGGAGGCACCTTTGGAATGTCTTCCCAAGGAAGCAGGGGATGAATTCCTGTTTTAATTTCCTTTTCCTGGGGAACTTTACCCCAACCCTTCATTCCCTCACTTTTACCCTTCCAGTTCTCTCCCTGTCCCATGGGTGAGGAGTGAGAGTGGGCTGTGACTGCCTGACTGCCCTTTGGGGTTAAATCACCACATTTTGGTTCAGCCCAGCCTAAATTGGGAGTTTTACATAATTCAGATTAGCTAAGCTTTGCCTACGGAGTCAAGCTGGCTCCACAGAGCCAAGGAGAGGCCTCCTCATGACATTTAAATCCAATTTTTGAGCAGATCTACAGAGTCAGGATCAGGGATTGTGAGGATGAAGGAAGCAGATGGAACCACATAAAATCCAGCCCATGAAAACCAGAGTGCAGCACAAGTGCTGTGGGAGGAAATCCAGACCTGAAATATTCTAAAGCTACAAGGAAATGAAGACATTTCCAGAGTTTAAAAATGGATTTTTTTTGAAGTATCACCATTGAGACAATCAAGATTGAGAAGAACCTAAACCCACAGAGAGGTTGTTCAGACCTAAATAAAAACACCACGAGGTTCTCCTCATTTTTCATCCAGACATTGGAAAAGTGCACAATTGACCACAAGCAATTCCCAACCCCTTCCTTATCCCAGAATTCCCAGACATACCATAAGCTTCGTAGGTTTCCTGTGCCTCCCCGTGTCCATAATCATAATATTCTGTATCCCTGGAAAAACAAGGAGGTGGTTACACACAGGGAAATGCCATTCCCACAGTGCCACCAAAAACCAGGGAAAGAGAAGATGCTCTGGGTC